TCCTGAACGAACATTTCGTCTAATATGAGCATTGTCAAGCTCTAAACTTAGTCGCTTTCTACCAATATGACCCAGCCACGATTCTTCTGCCTCTCATTCTTCCCCTTTTTTTTCGCGCGTTGAAACAGGAGCTTATGCTGAATGGACATTAATGTCAACGAAATCTCAAAATCGACGACGATAGACTGACTTTGGATTTTTAGATTTCCTGCAGCAGACAAAAACCTATGCACTAAAGAAAGAGCATAATTCTTCTTTGCCTCAGATTTGTGTTTATTGCTCAAGTTTGGCTTTGATTGAATTTTTATGGCTTCTGCAACCTCTTATTGACAGAAGAAAAGAATGGCACACCAATGCTTTGTGAATAACTTTGCATATATTCCGCAACTTATAGACGAGCCATTTTGGCCAAGAAAGCTCGCGTTTTTATTTCACTAATCCGTCATTTCAACACTATATTTTAAGTACACCGAGCCCTGCCTAGCCCTACCTCAGCAGATGCAGAAGTAACAGGAATTGTGGCCAGTCCTGTGAAGACGCGTGAGAGGCAAGGAAAAATTTTTGTTGTTGTTTTGTTTGCCAATCAACAAGGGGGGCCATGGCCCCCTTGTGCCCCCCCTTAGCTACGCCAGTGAGCCCGTACTTTTGAGTATTTAGATATAAATTACGTCGTCATTTAATTAATTATAATGCCGCAAATCACCCAAACGTTTTTAAAACGCGCGATAGATGATAGAGACAGACGTTTCAGGGCGCATGTATTCGATCTGCTAAAATCAATAACATTTTTTTGCAATTATATTTATTTTGCAAAGAAGAGGACATGTTCATTTACTTATTTAATAACAGAAAGCCTAATCATCCCAACAGTCTGATTTCTCGCAACTCTGAAAGTGCTAGGGTTAGCAATTGCCAACTGTCAATCGTGTCACAACAGATTATTGTAACGATCTTACGTCGAGGCCTTACCATCCTCTTTCTGCTTCGCTTCCTCCTGCTTCTACTCCCCCTCCTCCTCCTCCTCCTCCTCCGCATCCCCATCCACCCTACTCCTATTATTACTGCGCATACTCGTCCTCTTCCTCTTTCTTTCTCACCTTCTGCTCTCCAGCCCCTCCTCCTTCTCCTGCTCCGGCTCCTCCTCCTTTTCCCCCTCATCCTCCCCTCCTCCTCCGGCTCTGTAATGCTGTGAACACGATATTCTTCACTCTTCTCGCTGTAGCTCTGGTGATATCATTAGCTGCCACGTGAATCGCTAGTGGCCTCTGACGGGAACCGTGGATGGAACGCGAGCATTCTCTACCAGCTCTATGTAGATAGGTAGGCTATCAGGAGTATAAAACCTCTGCCAGCTCTCGCTACTTTGCTCCCAGCATCACGCCCCAGGTTCCGCGCCATACCTATATTAATGTACAGGAAGATGGCGCTCGTGCGTCGGTCACAGTTGACTGCCAAGAGAATATTCTTCGGCCGTTCTCATACGTTCCAACTGGTCGCGGACGGGCCGACGGCACGTGTGCATGGTAAAATCTGATCTACATAATTCACTTTGCTCGCAGCATAGCGCCTCGATTCCCAGCTATGCTATAATGTACAGGTAAAAGGCTCTCCGACGTCGGTCGCCGTTGATTGCCAAGATAAATGTCTTCGACCGTTCTTATACGTTCAAAGTGGAACCAGGCAAGTCGACAGCACGTGTGCTTGGTAAAATCCGGTCTATAATAAAATTGTGGATACTAATAAAATTGAGTTGGAATTAAGTAACAACTCGATACCCCAATCAAGAACATTAAAATTTTGAGATATGAATATAGATCAGCAGTTAACATGGAATGACCATACTAACTACATAGTAGACAAGATGAGTACAAGTATTAGCTTCCTCAGACAGATACGGAGACAACCTACACACAAACACAAAGCTGCAAATATACTCGTCACTCTGCCTGTCGCATCTCATATATGGATCTACAGTGCTTATAAATCTCCCCAAATCAGCTTAAGATAGACTAAAGACACTACAGAATTATGCTCTACGTCTTATAACAGGTTATTCCCACAAAACCGCTACATCACAGTCCACAGAGACAGACAGGAGCAGCTACTAGAACTAGAGAACAACTAAAAGTGCCTCCAATCGAATACCTAACTAGACAGAGGGCACTCAAAGAGAGTGCATACCTCCGCGAGCGCACATGTGTATAACAGCTGGCTGGACGCCCTAAGGCGAGCTGCTGCTGACTGGACACCCTAAGGCGAGCTGCCTGCTTGCCCATTTCCCATCTTCCTTAACCTACTCTGTGTGTGCAATTAATCCTCGTGTTCAGGATGCAAGAGAACGCGGATATCCAGGGGGACACACGACCGGGTGGGGAAAATTCGCACAATTGAGGTAACTGTCCCCGAGAGCGCGCGTTCCTGCCTTACGCTGTGTGCCAACGTGGCCTGGCACATCCCTCCTTAGTTAAATATCTTGTGTGGACGAGCCAAAGAAATTGCACGATATAACATATAAATAATAATAAATATTATATATTATATCCACTCCTTTAATATTATATGCTCTCATGTTTTCCTTCTGGTTCCGCCGCTGGCATAAATGAAACGCCTGCGTCCAGTGCAAACTCAGATCGAGGGTATTACTCCCGCGGTCTCCGAAACATGTTTCTGCCTTCTTATAGTTCAGGTTCCCGAGCGTTCGTCCTCCGCCGTGGCGTTGGTTCCCCGCGCCACCTATATTCTCGTCATCATCCACTGCCCTCTTGCTTCCAGTCCAGCCTCTTTCTACTGCCCGTCCTGCCTCCCTTACCTCACACATTTCATCTACCGCTCCCCTCTCTTATGTCCCCTCTGCTTCCAGCTCTCTGTTCTAAACGTTGCGCGCGTTCCTATCTTGTCCTTTATTAGTTGGGCGTCGCCTAACTCCGTCGCATAGTCCTCGCTCCTCCTCGCTTGAATACTCTTCACCAGCCTTCTTGCGCAGCTCTGTCTCGCTCGTTCTCGGTTTACATCTCTCATCAATTACCACTAATCTGGCGCTCCCATCTCTTATCTATCGTCAGTGATTAGCAACAGAAAGGGAAACACTGAGGGGAAGAAGTAGAACACGGTGAGCGCGTACCT